TCATTGAGGAGAAGGTAAGACGCTGTTGTGTCAGGCAACCAGAAAGCCTGCAATCTGCTCCTGGAACAACTAAGCTGCCTTAGTGATGTCTGACGGGCCAGACTCCAGACTGTCACTGGCAAGAGCTCCGGTGGCAGCGCAGGGCCCTCTGTGGAGCTGCGAAGATGAGGCCTCTGCCCGGGGACTAGTTGAGCTAGAGGTGGCGTGTGAATGTGGACAGCGAAGGGAGCCGCAGCTCCACCTGGGTTAGGTGTCTTGCTCAGCTGTTTTGTTTTGGTTTTCAGAGGCTGTGAATTTGTGTTTTGCCTGGGGACCAGGCAAAACTGTGCCTGGCTTTCACTTCATTTAAAGGATCTTTGATTTCCTGAGAGCTGTGTTACCACACCACCGGGGTCGCTCTGAACCTGTCAGAACGTGAAGCCAGAACTTCTACGACAGCACCAAAGGGAGAGGCGAGGTCACTGGAAAGCAAAGGGTAGAAATTGTAACTGAGGTGGCTCACAGGGCTGATGTGGTAGGTGAGAGTGGCAGTGATGTTTGAAGTTTACCATCTGTGCCCAGGAAAAGGGAAACATCCTGAGACGCAGATGGCCAAGTATGCTTTCATGCTGTCCTTTTCAGAGAGGGAAAAGACGTTGTCTAAATGCACCTCTCATTCAATTATGCAGTGTACTCAGCCATGCTTGCTTTGATTTCATTCTGATCTTCTGATTGTTTATTTGTCACCAGACACGTCTTTACAAAAGCGTATCAGCTGTCTGTTGACATCCAGGTCGAACTTTCTAGATTATCTATGACTTTCTGCCATTCTGGTTTAGTAAAGCATGGAATAATATTGACTGTAACAAGTGGTTTAAAAAAAATAATCAAAAGTGAGGGTCATGTCTCTGCGTGTGCATATAAATGGGATAAACACAGAGACAGGCTTGGGAATGAGGCCACAAAACACGAAGGAACCAAAATAGTTGGGACAGTGCGTAACTTCCTGCTCCTGGCCATGAATCTCCACTGAACTTCACATGGGCTGAGCCCTGCGCTATGTGGAGCAGAGGGACAGCTCAGGGAGCCTTGCTGACCTCCATAGGACTTTGTTTGCAAGTGGTGGTGATGCTTGCCTCAAGAAGACTTACTGACACAGGATGGGGGTTTGGACACCCCTGGACTGACAGTCACTGGTCCAGCTGTAAGGATGTCAGCTTTTCCAACCAGCCCAGTTCCCCGCCCGTGCAAAGTCTGGGCACCAGTATGCTGCAGCCTTCTCCTTTAGGTTTCTTAGATCTTCCTTAACAGCATGGTTCAGAGCATCAAAGCAAACTTGGTTTGTATTTTTTTTGTAAGAAACTAAAAAGCCCACTGCAAGGTCCAGATTTTCCATGTAAATTTTCTCCTTCATCTTATTCGCGGGGTGAGTTCCAACACTCTAAATGACAAACAGAAGCCCTGGCAGGCTTTAGCTAGCAGCTCTAATGGATGCTGTTATATTTCTGCTGCTAGTTGGCACTCAACATGCACTAGCTCATCAGCATAAAGGGATGCTGTCAACTTGAAAAACTGTGTCTTTCTTAGAGGGGAAACAAAAAAACACCCCACAAAGCCATACCTACTGTTGTTCCAAACCATCCCCTCGCCTGATCAGGGACTGGAAGGGAGCAGGGATGGGAAGGGGATGCTGTTTGGCTGTCTCTGCTCACTGTGTTTGCGTATGTGGTGGCACTTGAGGGGGAGGGGGGTGGTGATGGTGGTGGTCAGCCTTGCTGGTGTGCATCAGCCCTTCCTCGCTCAGGTGGTGCCTCCTGGGAGGTGGGGTGCAGAGGGCCAGTGAGGAGAGAGGATGCTGTCACGGGCTGAACAGCAGCAGCGAAGGCGAGCGAAAAATGTATTTGTCTATAGGTGGAGAGCAGACATCAAATGTGTAGGATGCCATTGCGCTTAGTGCACTGTTTGAAGTCGGTTTATAACATGCTCGGGAGAGAAGGAACTCTCCCTGCCCCCAGCTTCCTTCCTTCTCCAGAGATGGCTTGTACAGTGCCCTGCCCACTGCTATTTAAATCTATGCAAAACTTGCATTGTCTGAGATGGGCCCGCTCGAAACATTCCGAGCTGGCTGCATCCCTTGCTGTCCTTTCCCTTGAGGGTGCCAGAGCTGTCCCCGGAGGGGGATTCCTGGAAGAAAAGCAAAAAAAAAAAAAAAAAAAAAAAAAGGGTTCCTCCTTTGTGCTGAAAGCGACTGGCACACTGCGGAGAGCCGTCTGTTGCTGCCGCCTCTGCCAGCTACCCCCCACGACGTGCTCAGCTGCCCCAGCCGGCAGGTGCCATAGCAGATGGGAGACCTTTTGCCAGCCGGCGGATGCCATTCCCTTCCTGGTCTGCTGCTGGGACACCCGGGACTGTTGGGGCTCTTGCAGGCGCTCACCCCACCGCTCCCAGCTTCTGCCGGGCAGCCCACCCTGCGTCCTGCTGGAGAAACGGGAGACTAAGCTCGCCATCTCCTGGGGAAAAGGCAGTTTTATCTCATTCCTGCCTTTCATTCTCGCTCTTCATGCCGTCTGACAGAGCGGGGTTGCAGAAGAAGGCTCAGGGAGGCTTGCCGGCTGGCAATGCCGCTCCGGCTCTGCTGCGGTCCCTCCTCTCCCTGCGAGACTCAGTACAGTCGGGCAGCAGATCTATGTCACGGGGCGGGCACGCTGCTGCTGCTGTCTTTGTTACAAGCTTCACGCATGCTTCGGTGGTGGCAATGCCAGTGGCAAGACCTGTACACATTAATGACCCCAGAAAAGAGGTTTATGCAGTGCTGAGCAGATGCAGGAACAGGCAGGGTCTTGCATATGACATGGCAAGGACAGTTTATAGGCTGCCACATCTGCCCCGCGGCGCACAGGGACGTTCTGAAGGCTAGTTGCTGCCTCGTCACAGCAGAACCCCTCAGTTATAGGGCACCTCGAAAACCGATGCCTGCAGCAAGGTGCCTGGGGATACCCACAGACTTGTCAAGTGTAACAAACAAACTCGGGTTATTCTGCTTGAAGGTGACCCTTGTTCAGAAAGCCAGGCCCAAATGTCCCAGGCATTACTAAACTCTCCCATTAAAACAGGGTGAAAAATCAGCAACTACCTGCACAACATCTATGCAGTTGGGGGAGAAACGTATGGGCGTTGCCAGCGTAACTACTGCATCACAGAATAAAGTTCCCAACTAAGGGGCCAAGAGGTTAGGAGAGGGCCCGGGGAGGTGGGATCCCTCACCTCCCAGTGCTGCCACTGATGTACTGTAACCGTAAGCACCCACTTTACCACTCTAGAACTTGGCGAGGTGAACCTTTTAAGGGGAACATGAGAAAGATTGGTGAATTCATTAACCTGGTTATTGCTGTAGGGGTTATTATCACTCAGAATAGCTACGGTTATAAAGCGACTGAGGAAATAACACTGCTAGATATGTTGGTCCTAGTACCAAGAACAGAGATTAAGCTCAGCTGTTGTGATTTTTAAGAGAGATGGTGGTCACTTAATAAGAGATCTATCACAGATTTGTTACCAAAAAAGCCTTTTTCAGTCCCAATCTGGGCAGGGCATCCCATATATATTGTTAAATATAAACTCTGTTCTCTCCAGTGAAAGTTAGATGCCAAACAGATCGAAACTAATATTTTTTTACTTAGGTCAAAACAATTCTAAACCAGATTTCTAGTAACAAAGTGACTTGTTTGAAGTGAAATAATAACACCTCAGTTATAAACAAAGCAAAAACAGTTTTGGAAGAGCCTGAATACGTAAATTTACACATTAAACCCCAAACTTAAACACAGAGTAACTATTACACCTTTACCAAACCATCTTGAGTCTTGTAAGGTCTTCTACTGCTTTAAACCAATGTTTAAAGATCATTAATAGAAGTGGGAGTTAGGAATCATAAAGGCATTTTCTTCCAAAGTTGTTCTTGCTCTCAGCATCTACACAACTTTTGGCCTGAACACCCTAAACCCCCCTTTTTCTTGCAGTAAGAGGAAGCAAAATTTTTTGAGTAGTACACAGTAGGATTTAATGTCTAAATGCTTTTTGACCACTTTGACACAGTCAGATCCAACACAATGTCTAAATTGTGAGGTTACAATTTGAACTTAACTCACATACTTGTGTTTTATGAAGAAATGTATTACTGTTTTGCTAAGTGTAATTGCATTATCATTTGATGACCAGGGTATGTGCAGGAGGTAACTACCTATTCCTTAAATACTGCAGTGAAGATGGAGTTGTTGACCTCCACAGTGAAGGCCTATAGTTTCCTGGGCAGAGGAGTTTGTTCAGGCAATGCACATGCTATGATAGCTCTATCCTTTATTCGTGCCCTTGGCCTACTCCTCTCCAGGAATGAACCATTGTGATGACCCCATTCAAGGGAGATGTGAACTGTGAGCGAGGAATGGCCACTATGATGCTGACAGGCACAGAAGCTAGAGCCAGCTGGGCTTAGCCGTTGAACACGGAGGGGGAGTTCACTGCTCCGTAAGCACGAGGGGAAGATGGAGAGGCAGGCGAGACATAAGCTAAGGAGGACAGTGTTGGCAAGGAACAAGCTGGTGGTGAAGTAGTGCTGAATATCCTTCCATGAAAAAGCTCACACACAACTGCCTGCAATGGCAGGCGCATTACTCTCTGTGTGGCAGTCTCCATGAGCAGGCCCTTAGTGCGAAACGTTCTCGCTGGTTGAGTAACAGCGGTCCTGCTTGGCCTCTCTTGTTTTACCCCCTTTTTCTAAGCAGCCTCAGCTCTTCTGGCGAAGGTGGTAAAAGCCAACACAAAAACTCCTAACACTTTAGGCAAAAATTTGAAGGCAAGCTCTCATAGCCTTCTAGATCTTGGGCTAGAAAATACCAGTATTTTCTTGCTGAAGGACTGGAGCTATAGCCCTTGAAGCCCTCAGATGTTTGTCATGCCTCTGATCCAGTGGGCAGTACTAAGTCTCCGTCAGCAACTTCCAGCTGCCTGCAGATAGTGCCACTGATGCCACTTGCTTCACTCACTGCAGCTATTTGCCATTTCCAGTTATGGTCCTTGTGATTAAGCCACACTGAGCACTCGAATCCTTTTCTGAAAGAGAAACCAGCTTTCATCCAACAACATACTAGGAAAACACCTTTTGGCATCAGACCAAAGGAACGTTTCAAGTGTTACCTTTTCAAAAGCAATTGGATTAACTCAATAAAGAAATCTTTTTAATTTTGTTTTGTTAAAATAGAAAATGTGTTAACATGAGGCTGTAACTTCTGAGAGCTGTAGGCAGAGAATACTACCCTTCCTCACTGCTGGAATCCATGCCCTGGAGCATTCATTTGTTTGCAACGGCAGAAAGTTGGTCCCGGATCCTTCCTAGACCTTCTAACATAGTGTCCAGGGTTTCCTTGCTCAGTTCCACAGTCAGTGCAGAAACAACAGGACTATTTCCACATACGGCAACATCTTCCTGAATCTGAAAACAGGAATGCAGATGTTAGGTGTAGGAAAAATTAATTCCTGTGTTTTTTCCATGCCACTACAGAAGTCAGTGTTCAATAGACAAAGAAAACCACTTTGTATCTGGCACCCAGCTCCATCCTGAAGGACCATGGCACATTTTCTGAGCCATGTGCCTCACTAGGGAGTGCGTTCCCATTGACAGAGTGCAAGTAAGCATATACAGCCACGAGTGTGGGGAAATTCTGAAGACACTGGTGGCAGGAAGCCGCATCCGTATCAAAAGCATCTTAGCAGATACCACATAGGATACTTAACCTCATCCTGCACACAGAAATTAGATTTTTTTCCTCCTCCTCTGAAACCCACCGACCCCATTTTCACTGGCTGGGGGATCCAGAACTCTGTAGAAGACAAGCAGCAAGTTTAGCTGTTCTCCCCAAATATCACATGTGGACGTTATCAGTAATCAAAAGTAATTTCCCAACTAACACAGTCAGCTAAACATGCTGATGAGTGGCTTAGGATTCAAGGGTGATGGCTTCATAATTTATCTTCTGTCTTTCTTTCTGAAGACAATAGTGGTGACCAGGAACAAATATGCTGCCTTCTCTCATCCTCATGCAAAGAAAACTCTCCCTTGTAAGAAAGAGAGGGCTTTCACCAGAGAGATCACTCCCAGGCTCTCTCGTAGTTCAAAGATCGCCTCTGAGAAAGTCTGTTAACTGCCCACCAGGCAACGGGCAAGCACCACATGTCTGCTTGAACTCTGCTGCACTACCACTGCTAAGTCAGGTGTTGGACTTGATTACTTTGATCCTGTACCCTTTACAGCCACTGACATTACCTTTAACTGAAGCAGGCAAGTTGGGACTGCCATTCTGCTGATGCTGTCTGAAGACGTCTTGATGTCTACCCTCCAGTCCATGTCAACCAGACGAGGCAGGGAGACTAAGGGATTAAAAAATGGGTCTGTTAGGCCCAGCAGCACATGAGGACATCAGACCCTGCAACCTGTGACCACCACCACATACATGCTTCTCCACTGCTGGCCCTGGGAAGTGTACAACTTCAGCACTACTATGTGGTTTCACACCATTTTTACTCTGCAACAGGCCAGTCTCTGAAGCACTGCTCGTGACAGTGGAAGGACAAACAGGGTTCTCCCATCATCACATGCAAGGATGGCACAGTGCAAGACAAGCCCAGGTAAATTCACAAAGCAGCTGGGAGAAGGAGAGCAGTAAGATGGCTTCTCCACTTCTTCATCCCCTGCAACACTCAACTAGTGTTTTGCCACGGGTTGCTCTGGGACCTGCATGCTTCTTGCTCTGTTCTGTAACCAGTAAGAAAGCACACAGGAATGCTCTTAAAATCCAGCAGCATAAAACATGTTACTGCAACCCACGAACCAAAGCATACTGCATATGTATTGATAAACTGCAACCTTCACACGTCCTGCCCATTTCTTAAAAACATGGACCATATTGCCCTAACTAGATGTAGCCTAACAGAAACCATTCAACAGTTTGGTGCAATACTGACCGCAGCAGTCAGGGCTGAAGACCCCGTGAGCCTTCCAAGGGAAGGGAGGACAGCTCTGACTTGGCTGCCCTGCCAAGAAATTTGTGTAGCTATCCCTTGCAGAGGAGATAGGGATACTCTCTGATGACGGTGTGTCCTTAATGGAGCTCACTGCACTACGAACCCACAAGAGTCCCTCAGCACCGCACAAACTGGCATAAAAGCTGAGATCAAGCTTCTCCCAACAAAACTCTGGCACCAACAGCCTGGCTGCAAGTGCTCTTTGTCAGTTCCTGGGAGTGTAATGTTTTCCAACAGTGTCTTTCAGCTGCCAGTAATAAATACAAGGAACACTTGAAGAATATACTCAGGTGAAACTGAGGCAGGTATTTAGATGGGTGACATGCAGATATCTTTCTCCCTTGTTTGAACAAAACAAAGTTTCCTACTTTCATTTAAAAAAAATACATTTTAACCAGAAAAAGAACATTTTCATCTCAGATTTACAAGTGTTTTCTCACACAAACTGCAAACCAGTAATTAATTATGCTTTACTTATCCAACCAGATAGCAACAGCATGTGTTAAAAGACGAGGCTTGAACCCTTGACTGCCCAGAGGTGAAGCACAATTTACCACCAGAATCCAGAAACTTGGAAAATGTCTGTAAGGTAAATTCCTTGTTTAAAATATACATAAAGAAAAGAAGCTGTAAGGTGCAGTTTAATGGGGAATACTTAAAGTCATTCCCACTTTGTACCATCACATTTATAAGACTCGGAACACCTCTTGCACTTTTTTCAGCTCCCATTTCTGGTAAGATCTGAGCTATGCTTCCTATGTTCGGAAGTGCAGCATCCAGTTTCCTGGCAAAACCAGTAAATTCTCACTAGAAGAAAGTCCACACTAAGGACATGGAAACAGACACAAACCCTTTTGGTCTGACAAGGGCATTTGCAGCTGATGGGCTTAACTGCTGTAACTATGTCAGAATAAAGGGCTGTAGGGTGCCTGAAGAAAAACTGTTCCTGTTATGTCACCTAGGGATTTTCAGAGAAGTCTGAACGAAACGTAGGACCAACCCCATAGAAGATCTGTAGGGAGGTGATCGTTTATTCACAAAGTCAGTTTAAAATCTCAGCTGTGGTGCTTGGCAGGTTTGAGTGTCTTTGTGAAGCCTGACCAAACTTGGTTGTCAGCAGTTGTCTGACATGTGTTTAAGGGTACCAGAGGGGGTTAACGAGGCAGAGACTAAACCCATCAAGCACCAAGAGCTGTCTCAATAGGCAGCTGCAGCCTGACTGGGTTCTGCCTGCTGTAGGATGCCCTGTTTCCTCCCCAGGGCCTGATCGCCAGCCTTCCTATGGACTCCAGGTGCTCAAGCTGCTTCCTAACGGTGCTTACAAAAACTCTTCTTTCTGTCTGGGGAACGGCTCTCCTTCTTGCTTCCCCGAGCAGAGCTCCAGGGGGCACTGCAGAACTGGCTGCCTTGCTCTTGCTTTTGGAACAAATTCCAGTTCGCGGTCTGTCGGGGCCAGCACTTGGCAGCATTTGCAACAACATAAAATGCATCTGTTTAGCCTTGTAGGTGAATTTGCGAAGACTGATTGCTGGTGGCTTAGGAGGGGCAGGAAACCAGCCACACTTTCATGTTAACATAGATCAATCAGTTGGAATGTTTGCTCTTTAGGTCACTGCCTTGGCCCCTATGTAATACACACCAGCTATTTCATGAATACAATACTAAAATAATCCATCATTTCCTAGAAGATGACCTCATTCCAACAGGGTTAAATATTTATCTAATGAATACAAAGATGTGAGTGTCAGAGCAGAGCTCCTGTGTGATGTTGCAAGAGCCACACACCCAGCCTTGCCTCTGGGCTGTGAAGACCTAGCTAGTGTGTTAGGCTGGTGTGTCATGCCTGCTCTCGTCTCCTCCAACGCATGGTAGTGCACGGCTACGGGGAAAGGCATCATGTGTCTTGGTAACACTAGGACGTTGTTTAGTGCAAGCAACTGCTGTGTTTACTGTGTTAGCATTATGTGACAGTTTCTTCCCTCTTCTCTATTCTCCTCTCCATTAAAACTCTGAGGGACAGGCATGACTATAATTCTATACTGTTTAGCTGTTGGACATTATCCCCTCTGCAGCCAAAGAAAAGGGTAAAGAGGGTCCTCGCAGACCTCAAAGTACTCTGTTACATATCAGCTCTCATTTGTAACTCTCTAAGTGCAACAGCTGTACAGAAAACCTCTTGGGGAGAAAACAAAGTGTCACAGCTGCACGGGACACCTAACTGTGATGTAACTCACTGCCCATGATGCTATTACTGAAGTTCACAATCCTGGATTACATCACTGTTTAGAAAGGTGAGGAAAAAGCAGTTAGGAACATATACAGTGTGCTTTCTGCTGCGTGGAAGACGAAGAACGCGCAGAATCGACCCGACCAGATGTGCACGGATGAGGTATTCCCCAATACGTACACATCTTTTACAGTGCACAGTTACTGAATATGGACATCACTTGACAACCTGAATGGGGAGGTCAGAGCGCTTCAGTTTCAAACGTTTTGCAAATAGTCGCTATACACTACACTCTGCAAGGTAGCAACAGGCTGAGCATTAAACAGAACTGCTTGAGGACTGGAAACAATTTAGCACAGACCTGCACAGAAGCTTGGTGGCTTCTGCTAAGCTCTGTGATGCCACAATCGTACAGCTTCATCTAAGGCAAACGGGGGCATCCCTGTGCCTCGTTATGAAAACACGTCGCGATGCACTACTCTAAATTCTAAGCTCCAATGACCTCAGGAAACATTAATTGCATCAGGGTATGAACTACTACTTACTCTGACTTGCTTGTGCTTCATTCCTCCAAGCAGAGCTGTGAAGAGAAAAACGGTATCAGTGGTGCTTTGGGGAAAAAAAAAAAAAAAAGAAGATAGGAAAGGCATTCGGAGTGGCTTACCCCTGACAGCAGAAGGGTCACCAGGCCTGCAGCAGTAAGCAGGGGAGAGAAGCTGTCTATGCTGCTGAGTGCCAAGGAAAGGCTGTCACTGGTGGGCAACGGCAGGCAAACTGGTGACCAACTATGGGTGGTTCTTCACTTATCGCATGTGCTTTCTCCCCAGTTTTATCAATGCAATGGGCTACCAAGCTGTGAGAGGTACAAGCATGCAGGACTGCTACCCTCTGCCACCAGCTCATGCACGCTCTACGCACATGGTGCCTCCGCACCTGCACCAAGGTGGTAAGTGGATGGGCATGTTGATGCTACCCAATCACATTCTGGAGTGCTGAAATCAATCCCTCTCAGTTTTATCATCAACTGTAGCATTTTTCCACCACACAGGCAAGTTGTTAGGGTAAAAGGGGCTTTGCATTATGTGACTGAGGCCCACGCACGTTTCAAACGTCTTGGGAAAACCCTCCGGGCCCATGGCTGTGTTTTGTTCGCCATTCCACTCAGACAGACGTATTTCATTCAACTGTGCTCACCCCAACCTGTGCGATTACACCCAAGGCACACATAAAATTCCTAGAAGCCAGACTTTGCATGATGCCAGCCATCTTCATATCAAACCAGACACACAGGCTTTAACTTGGCAGCTGAAAGCAAAGGGCAGGTGGGTAGCACTCACATATTCTCCAAGATTATCTTAGTCAAAAGGTTTTTCAGATTTTGGTGGAAGTTTTCTGGGAAGAGAGCGAGGATATCTTCTGCCCTTGTCAAGCCGTGGTACACGACGTGCCTGGTGAGGCTGTGCAAAGCAGACACCAGCTGTAGGAAAGGAAGAGATGAAAGGGCTCCGCTGGGTTGCGAAGCATGACCTACAGCACGGGACGGGCCTTCAGTAGCCGGGAAAGCTTCTGCAGCGACCCACACCACCAGGGCCCAGCACACCCAAGCGCTGCCCAACAGCCTCTGCAGCTAAGGAGCCGAGCT